AATGCACTGGAACTACAGTAGGAGAACCTAGAATGAGCGTTTTCAAGGAGAAATGATTGGATCCAGCCATTGATCTACACCGTCCCCTAGTGGATATTTTTATTTTGTTACTTTTATCAGTCCGCTTGCATATTTTTCTTTGCTTTGTTTTGGTTTTTGTTTTTTGGTACCAGGGATCAAACTCTGGACCTTCTGCTTGCGAGGCAGGTGGCGGAACAACTGAGCTAAATCCCCGGCCCCTGCATACATTTCATTTTGAGAAATTAATATACATACTAATTTTGTATACAACCTACACTCCTCTCCACCCCCTTCCCCAGTTTCCCTTCCCCATCTTCTTACGTTTTTTTTCTTTTGCAGAACTGGGGATCGAACTCAGGACCTTGCACTTACCAGGAAGGCACAATGCCACTGAGCTACATCCCTGGCCCCCTGTCCTTCCCCATCTTCAAAAAGTCCATTCCCTGTTTTCTATTTTTATTTTGCTCTTTATTTATATTTTAGGTTTCTCACATAAGAGAAGCAATGCAACATTTAACCTCCTTTATCTGATTTACTTCACTTAACATTATAGTCTCAAAGCCATCCATTTTTCTACAAATGACTCAAATTTATCCTTCTTTATGGCTGAGACATATTCCATTGTGCATATACACCACGTGTTTAAATGGGTAATTTTAAAAGGAAAATTGCTAGAATTATACATTTGGAGGATCAAGAAAATACTGGTAGTGTAGCTTTGGAAAGTGTGGAAAGAAAGTAAACACACCTGTAATGTGCTTGCTTTAGATGTCAGTAGGATTCCCAGCGAGAGCTTGGTAGACAATCATGTTTTATCAAGACTAAGCCAAAAAACCCAAACAAAAACAAAAACAAAAAAACAACAAGAAAAAAACTAAGCCAGGGGCCGGAGATTTAGCTCAGTGGTGCCACCTCCTGCCTCGCAAGCGCAAGGTCCCGAGTTCGATCCCCGAGTTCGATCCCCGGTACTACTAAGTCCTCTCTTTAACAAACGATAATTACTCCCCCCCCGCCCCCCCCCCGAACTCGGGTCCTTGCGCTTGCGCAGCAGGCGGCAAAACCACTGAGCTAAATCCCCGGCCCGGTAATTACTCTTTGTAAAAATATTAATACTATATCTTGCCTCAAATGGGGAATGAAAGCTTTGGGTGAAAACACACTTCATCCTGAGTCAGTGGGATAAGCAGCTCGGTTAGCACCACTGAGGTAGGACATAGGGCGTGGCTTGGGCGAGGTGGGAAGAGAAGCATGGCGGGATTCCAGGATCAACACAGCAGGGCCTCTCGGGACCTCACGTGGTCTTCTCGTGGGTTCTCGCGAGATGTGGACCCTATAAAGAAACTATACACAGCGGAGACTCTGCTGTCAAGGCTCCTCACGGTCGCTCCTACCGTGTCTCCCGGGTCAGGCTGCACTTTTGTTTTTCTCTTTTCTGCTCTTGTTCGGCCCACGTTCGCTGTGCAGGGCCAGTTTCTCCCTCATCCCCGCTTCCAGTTAAACTTTGGCCCATTTTTGGCTTGTCTCGCTCAGTTCTCGGCTGCGTCTCAGGTCAGGGAGCGACCGTAGCGCCAGGAGCCCGGAGCCCGGAGCGAGCCCTCCGCTGGCTGACTCGCCTGTCCCAGCGCAGCACCGCCGCGTCCGCCCTCCGCAGTTGTTAAGGAGCAAGTGCCTCTCACGAGCAGCCTTGAAGTAACATCTTTGGGAAACGCTAAGGTTCGTGTTGCGCTCCCCGGCCTCTCGTCTGCGGGCGAATCCCCCGAAAATCTGGCTGGTGAGAGTCACAAAGGACTCCTCGTCCCCAAGGCGCATTTTTCAGGAAGATCGTGACACAGACAAGAAAGTGAGTTAAACGGAAATGAACAAAACTTTGGAAACCTCCGTGACGTCCCTCTCTGCTTCCGTTGCTTTGGTCTGCGCGCTAGCTCCCGGCCCTGCTAACCAAGCCCTAGGATAACAGACTTATGCAGAGGAGAGGCGCTCGGCCCACCTGTCTGGAAGGAAGTCTCGGTCCATGACAGGTTGAGGCTGTTGCTGTTAGGCTTCGTCAAGGCGCACATTATGGCAGCAGCACAGCCAGAAAGGGAGAAAGAGCTGATCCTGCAGTCCCCCAGCGGCCTAGACCTGATGGTTCCACCCCTTGAGGTCTCCACCGCCTCTCAGTGGTGCTCAACTGGTACTACGATTCCAAAAATAGAGAAAAATAAGCACGATTGTCAGAATCTGAGTCCAGGGTGAGAGGCACAAGGTCTTCCCTGAGTCAGACACTTAGGGCCAGTGGGACCCAAACTGGTGATCCTCCTGCCTCAGCCTCCCAGAGTGCTGTGGTTACAGGCATGCACCACCATGCTTGACCCACTCATGTCTTTCTTAAATCTTTCCTTATTCTTCTGGTTTCATGGGAGGCTTGAAATATGACAACTGTCGTCAAAGGTCATTTGGATTTGAGTCAAGAGACGAACAGGTGAATGCAGCGTTTCTCCCCTGATAATCTTGTGCAGAGAGGGGTCAAAGAGGGTTGGCACCCTTCGAAGTTCAGTCCTAAAATAAACATCATATAAGCGGGAACCAGGCCTGTTTGGGGCAGATTTACTGCCTGAACCTGGCCTGCTGGCACCCAGCACCCTAGGATTAGGCTTCGCCTTAGCAGTTTGTCCATAAAGGCTGGGTCCTGACCCCTGGGCATGTCCGTCCCTCCTTTCTGCAGAGTGGCAGGGTGACAACTCAGCCAGTGCTCACTCCTGTGTCCCTTTATGCCCTACCCCTAGGTGAATTTCTTAAGGCAAGTCCCTCCACGCAGGTCAGACTTCCTTCGGTGCCGTTACCAATTTCCTAAGAATCATGAGTGCTCCAAAGGCCCAACTTGCCTTGTCTGGGATTCAATTCTACTGCAATCAATGACTTGAGAAATTTTTCATTCTGAAGATGTTGCTGGCTCCTCTAAGGGGAGGTGTTTGAATCACCTGTTAATATTGCAGTGAGGCACCCTTTCACCTTTCAAGTTTAGATCTGGCCCCCTAAGATTAAAAATTAGTCCCAATCTCCAGAACCTGCATCTGTGTCACCGTCCATGGCACCAGGACTTGGCTGTGTGATTAAGGTTAAGGACTTGAGCCAGGGATTTAGCTCAGTGGTTCCAGTGCCTACCTTGAAAGCACAAGGTCCTGAGTTTGATCCCCAGTACCAAAAGAAAAAAAAGAAGGTAAAAGACTTGAGATGGGAGATCATCCTGGATTATCTGGCTGGGCCCAGTATAACCACAGGAATCCTGAAAAGTGGAGAATCTTTGCAAGGTATGGTGGTGCATGCCTGTAATTCCAGTTACTCAGGAGGCTGAGGCAGGAAGATTGCAAATTCAAAGCCAGCCTGATTCAGTCTCAAAATAAAATTTTTTAACAGTGTGGTGCTTACTGCTTGCAGTCATTGCAAGCTCCCTGAGCTCATGTTTGGCAAGCACATGACAGTCACTCGGCTCCACATTCACCCTGCCACTCGGGCCTTGGCTGAGTGCCACTTGGGACCCGTCCTTGTGAGGGTTCGAGAGGCCACTGCCTCCTTCTGTTTGTGACTAATTTCCATCCTCCTGAATGTCCCACATTCGTTGCAAATCACACCTGATGGGAGAAGCCTGTCTTGAGGGAGGATAACGTCCTTTCCCCTCGCTGTGGAGACTGAAGGCCCCCGGAGCTTGAGCTCTGAGTGGGTGGTGAAAACAGAGGGCCCAGCCTGCAGGAGGAGGCGACACTGAGCCAGAGCAGGAGCCCAGGCTCCTGAGTCTTTTCCTGGGAAAATCGAGGGCCTTCGGAGGAACCATTTCCCCACACCTGCTCATCAGGACCGAAGTGATCTTTGACTTTTTCCTTTTTTTTTATTAAGTTTATTGGTACATTTTAAATGACCACATTCACCAGAGGGAATCTACCTGTACATGATACATCTTGGTTCTTATTTTTCTGCAGAAAAAAAGATAGTTGGATCCATCCACGATTCCAGCCTGGGTGGGGATGAATGGGGACTTTACTCACTTTATGAACAACCTGCATCACAGGGATGTGCAGTGAGAAGTGGGGACAGAGCTGAGTGGGCTCTGGGGGAATAAACTAAAACCTGGGGCCAGGAAACCATGTGCATCCTGTTATCAATGAAAAAACACCACTCGAGGACTTCATCTAGGTGGCTGTCCCCGGCCTCCTGAGGGGTTCAGGACGTAGTACCCAGAATGCAGCGCTGTGGCATTTGAGAAGACGACTGAGGCAGGAGGTCTCCCTGACCTTGCCTTCTGTGGCTTCCCTGAACCAGGACGAGCAAGAATTCTCCGACCTCCTCTGTGGTAGTTCCTGAGACCCTCACCCCAGAAGTCCCTCCACTGGCCCCAAAGACAAGCCAAGTCCTTATCCTCCTCGAGATGAGACCACACGCACCAGGCGTGGTAGGGCACGCCTATAATCCCAGCACTCAGAAAGCTGAGGCAGGAGGGTCACTGTGAGTGCAAAGCCAGCCTGGGCTACACAATGAGTTCATACTGAACTACACAGCGAGACCCTGTCTCTAAAAAGAGCACACATTTAACTATTTCTTTGGGTCTTCATTTACAAAGGCTGTGTTTTTCTCTTGTTAATCTGTCTTTTACTAGAGGCGCCTCAGCCATTAGCCTGTCAGTAGGTGACAGGGGAGAAATCTCAAAAAGGGCACAATAATAAGCTTTGAAACCAGAGCACATCTCTACGAATATTTTCTCTCTCGCTCGCTGATGTTCCTAGCTGTCTTCCACTGTGTGCCTAACCTTTCCACATCATGTGTCAGTCCTTATGGATCAAGTAAAATTTTCAAATCTACAGGTCACTTCCACTAAGATGCATATTATGGAAATGTCTGCATTTTTACATTTGTATGAATAATTAAATAGCATCTCTAGAAACATATTCAAATAATATGCTTGTTTTGAAGTATTAACAGGAAATAGTTATATATGGATGCAATGTTTTTATTTATATGTGACTCTGAGACAAGGTTTTTACAGAAAAGACTGGTTTTATTGAAATAACATTTGTAAAATTACAGACAATCTAATTGCGTGAAAGCTCCCATTTCCCACCTTTTTATACATAGTTTCCATTTGGTTATATTTAATGTGTACTTTGATGGGAAACAAGATTCCAAAATCCTCCATATAGTACAACTAATAAATTTGAATGTTACTTTTTTAAATGTTAAGAAGAAAAATATAATTGTCTAAGGCTTATTTAAAGTGAGTTCTCATTTTTGTGCTCTTTTTATCTTTAACCTGCTTCTCAGAGTTTGTCTCCCTTATCACTCACTGCTGTGTGGCTTCCCATTGCTCTGCTTATTTTGCAGCTGTGGATAGCAAAATATCTGGAGGAATCCAAACTATTCACATGGACTGAATACCACGAACTGCCTTCTAAATGCATGCCTCCTAGAACAGGTGTGCTCTTCCAGTACCAAAAAATAAAAATCGCCCTTTATTTCCACCCCAGATAAACTTCCAAAGGCTCACACTGGCTATGCATGGCTGTCCACCATGGCAGCTGTTTTAGTAAATTCCACTTCAGACTTAGCTGCTGGGTGGCAGCAGTCACTGGTATAGGGCTTGGGAACCCTGGGCCACCTTTCGTCCCTGCATGAAGCCCTCTTGGATGGCACTGGGCCAGGCCTTACAGCTGACAACATGTGGATTTTCCTTCTTTTTTTTTTTTCTTTTTGGTACCAGGGATCGAATTTGGGTCCTTGCGCTTTCGAGGCAGCTGCCAGAACCACTGAGCTAAATCCCCGGCCCTGGATTTTCCTTCTTAATCCCCAAAGCTACTGACGTACCCTTCACAAGTCAATCAGCCACTTCCTGTTTCTCTCAGCCCAAGACACCAGTATAAAAATAAACTTTACACTGGGCTGGAAGAGTCCAAGGCCCATGACGGGCCCACCTTCAGCCCTGCTGACCGTAGGTACAGCTGCCCTGCAGCACACCTAGGACGCTGTGCTGGGGACCCGTTGGGGTGGTCTGCTCATTTCCGTTTCTCCTGCTCTACATGGCCACTGTGGATGACACAGCTCTGAGGACACGGCCCACACTCACCCTGAGGGAGTCCCAGCCCCCACAGTGGGCCAGGGCGGGATGGCGTCCACAGGAGCACTCAGTACTCCCGGGCCTGGCCGGGTCACCATCCTTTCCTGGGGCCATGAAGGCCACCTGAGCATCTCGGCCCCACACATGGTGACCTCCCAGTCCCTTCTTCCACCCACCAGGCCTAAATCATTCCTGAAGTCTCTCCTAAGAGCCAGAGACTAGAATTTAAAACACTTGCCAAAGTGTAATTTAAAATATCTGCAGACAGCAGTCTGCACAAACCCAAGGAACGATATTCTCAGTCAGAGAAAGAACGCTTTAAAGCACTTTCCTAAGAACAACAAAACCCTCCCCTGGACAGTCCGCCAGACGCGGTCTTTCCATAGCCCCTTAGCCGTCGATTCCTGAAAATATCTCAGAATTTGGTCATTAAGTTGTAATTTTTCTCTCCATGAGGTTTTGGATTTTTTTTTGGTACTGGGGATCGAACTCAGGACCTTGTTCTTGGAAGGCAGGCAGCGGAACCACTAAGCTAAATCCCCTGCCCGTTAAGTTGTGATTTTTAAAAAGAATGCATTCTATAAAACATTAAAATGTTAAATTACATTCTTTGGAAACAAGAATATGTAAGTGAGCATGTAAATATTAACATTTAATCTATCAATTCTCAAGCCCACAGAAGACAACAAATTTGAAATTTTTTCCTTTGGTGTTTGAAACAGGGTCTCACTCTGTAGGGCAGGCTGGCCCCGAACTCACTATGTTGCCCAGGCTGGCCTCGAACTCACATTGATCCTCCTGCCTCAGCCTCTCGAGTGCTGGGATCATGGGAGTGGGCCACCACACTCCGCTTGAAAGTTCCTAGGCTTTGAGGTGAAGCATGTCACAGTTCCTGAATGACACCATCCACACACAAGGACTGCAAGCTCCACAGGGCGGTGAGGTTTTGCAGTCTTCCGGTGGGTGACGTCAAAGCTGAAGGCTAAAGGATACCTTGGTGGTGTAGCTGGGAACAGATTCTGCAACAACAACATGAGTCAATATATACACTTTACTAGTCATCCAGCCTTTTACGATGAAACCCAACTACACACCACGGCCTATGTCGATGACAACACACAAACTACTGCCCCTCATAAGTAGAGAGATAATGTACAGATGACGAAGGCTGTGTTTATCAGACCCTTGCAGCCGAGTTTAGAGGTGGAAAAGCACTGATCCCCATGCTCTCCCAATCCTTCTGAGCCACTCACACAGCTACTTCAAGGTTTAGGGAGCTGTAGGACCCACTGGCAATAAAAGTCGACAGAAACAGCTGCTCAAGGGCACTGAGCATGGTCACAGGGAGCAGTGGGAGGGAGTCTTTCGGGTCTGGAAGCATGGTTTCTAAGACAAGTCGGACTATTCCTACTCCAGACAGGATCTTCCCAAGCCGACGGCCACGCCTGTCCAGAGCTGGATGGCAGGGCCCCTCACCGCAGCCTGAGAGGTCACAGTGGCATGCAGACCCCAGACCTGGTGTTTGTTGCAGGCTGAGAACAGTCAGGGCTTCCACCCTCAGCATCCTAAACCACACGAGGTGCAGGCCCATGGGACCAACAACATCTACTTTGTACTGACTGACTTGGACACTGACTCAGACATGGCTCCGATGGCGAAGAGAGAAAAGAGGGACAACACCATAAAACAAATGTTGTCTGCATGTGGGGACGCACCCCTGTGAGCCCAGCGCTCAGGAGGCTGAGGCAGGAGGATGGCTTTGAGTTTAAGGCCAGCTTGGGCTACATAGTAAGACCCTCCCTCAAAAATCAAACAAAACAAAGAGTGTATTTCTCCACCTCTGTGTCAGATAGGTAATGATGTCCGGAGAATTCAGTGCACTAGAAAAGTTTCCCCTCTTTTGGCTTCAGGGGAGGTAAATGACTACAGAGTAACCTGCCCCTCCTCGGGAGGTTTTGGCCATTTGACTTATGTCAACAGACACACTGCATGAGTGAGTAGAATTCTGTGTATTCATTTGCCATAACTTCAAGTAGGAGCAACCCACCTCTTTCTTTGAGGTCTTCAATGTAGGCCTTCATAAATTCCTTATCGAAATGCCGGCGGTCCTGTTCACTCTCAGAGCTTTCCTGGCCCTGCTCGCATCCGGTCTTGGCGAGGGGGTTGTCCATCAGGCTGACAAACCTGCTCGGGAAGCACGGAGATCGCATTGCCATCATACACAGCACCTCAAATGCAGGGGGGCTCCAGGCCTGGGCCCTGCTCGCCCTCACCAGTGGTCTCTCCCCTAAATCCCATCCTGCCGAAGCCAACCACGGAGAAGGAACAGGAGTGTGGGTGGGAGGAGATGCTTTACACCCCATTAAACCTCTGCTTACACAAGCGTGAGCTTGGCCTCTCTTTCCAATGTTAAAGCTGCCTTCTTTGTTTGCCACATATCTTACTACGAGGACAGGGAGCTAGGAAGGTTTGACTCTACTCACGGTGAGCATTCACCAGCCAGAGCAATGGGAATCCCAGGGAAAGATCTCAAAATGGTTTTGGTCAGCACCTGGGGTCCCAGCACATGCGCCCCTGGACAGGCACTGGGGGCTCTCACTGGAGCAGCCTCTTGGCCAGGAGGCTCCAAGCTGCCAGGGTCGGACCAAAATGGTCTCATGGTAGAGATGACAGGGACCCCAGAGCTACAAACGTTGGCTGTCAGCTGCCGTGGGGAGGTTTTAGGGGAGGATGGAGCTAGGGCCTCTCAGCTGCGCTTCAGGGGAAGGAAGACTATTCTGTTTCCCCGCCCGGTTACAGCCTGTGTAAGCGTGGATGTTTTTCGTGGCTTTGGATGGTTTCCTGGTTCACGAGAGGACACCGAAAGGACAAGGCAGGTGGGGAGGATTCCTTGACAGTGGCGCTCCCTCTGTGGGTGCAAACCACAGTTCAAGGGGCCCAGCTTCCATCCCCACACCAAGTAGCATTTGTCCAGAAACCCTCTCAGCTCTGCCTTCCTGCATCATCTGCCAACAACTTCAAAGTCCCCCGAGAAGTGGCCAGGGACGGGTTCTCGGAGTGCGAGAACCATCTGATTCAGAGACAGTGGCCCAGCCCCTGGCACCTCAGCCCCACCTGGCAGGAAAGCTGTACCTGGCCCCTGGCCCACTCACTTTAAAGGTGAGGACTCGTCACAGAGGGCACTTGGGAACTCCACCAAATGGTCACCACTGACCACCAGCAAGGTGAGCTTCTTGAGGTTGAGCAGGGCCTGAGGAAGGTAGGTCAGCTTGTTTCTATACAAAAGGAAAGTCTGGAGCTCTTCTAGCCTAGGGAGAAGGAGAAGGGCCAGAGAAAGCACTTGGCTTCAGAATGAATTACAAGCACATCCCTACTTGCTTCAGTGCAACTATGCAGCCTGGGTAGCTGGGTATGGTAGTGCACACTTGTCATCCCAGCACTCAGGAGGCTGAGGCAGGAGGACTACCTCAAGTTCAAGGCCAGCCTGGGCCACACAGTGAGTTCAAGACCAACCTGTCTCAAAAAACAGAAACAAAAAAAAAAAGAAAAGAAAAAGAAAGAAAGAAAATCATGTCAAGTGACATCATTTTTTTTAAGTTGGCACAGACATAACTACTGGTTAAAGACACAGGGAGAGCAGCGGGGTGAGTGGATTGTGCAGTGCACAACAGGGCCCCCTGGATCTGGGTCAGTAAACCCCTCCTTCCGGCGACCCCTGCGTTTCCGGGGCTGACGGGGCACAGAAGGGCGACCGTGCTTGGGTTAGTGTGGGCGTACAGAGGTCCTACAGCCTCACAGCACAGCTCCGCGCCCGTCTCACTTTCTAACAGTGACAGGAATGAGGCCGCAGGCGGGGGGCGAAGGGACACCGCGTGTTCCCCTTCCCTCCCGATCTCCTCCTCACTGACTCCGGCGCTCTCTCCAGACCCTTCCTTCAGGCCTGCGCAGTCCTGACTAACGCCACAAATCTCTCACAAAATCCCTCTGGGTTTCAAACTAAAGCAAACGACCCCCACTTAGTCTCGTGAACCCGGACAGCACCGGGGCGCCACCTGCAGGAGTCGGGACTGTCACCTGGGCCGGAAGTCGGGCCTCGCCATGCTGGTCCCTGTCCTCAGTTACCTGTGCTTCTTTGTAAATACGATGGGAGAGTTCAGGAGGCACAGAAGTGTCTCACTCACTGCTTCACGCCCAGCCCGCTCCCTGGGGCCGCCCAACAAGAGTCTAATGATACTGGTGAATGAATCAATCAATCACACATGTTTCCGTGTAGTCGTGAGTTTTTAAAACACGCAATAGCTACAAGGGTATAATTTGAACACATAACTAAGCATGTCGATTCCGTTTGAAAGATTATGCCTAATCAAAAAATGAAACCGACATTCTAATCACGGCGTGCTTCTGGCCTGCACATAGCTCTTTTTTGTTGTTGTTTTTTGGGGGTATTTTTTGGTACCAGGGATCGAACTCGGGACCTTGCGCTTGCGAGGCAGGCTGAGGATTGAAGCAGACTGAAGTGAGGCTGAGTCCAAGCACAGACACCTTGCAGGCCTCTGGCGCGTGGCGCCTGGCGCATGCGCAGAGCAAGCACAGAAACGGGCCCGCCCACACCTGTCCATGTCCTGCGGTAGGTCGCTCAGGCGGTTGCTGCTGACGTCCAGCCACTGCAGACTGGGCATGCGCAGGACACAGATCGGGACGCTGGCAAACTTGTTCGCCGAGATATCTACGAATGTAACTTGCTTCAAATTACTTAACTGAAAAGGAATAATAAACCCTAGTTACCCTCAGAGGAGTGGGCAGGGAACCGCGCCACCTGGAGCACGCGCGGGACGCTAGGACAAGCAGGGCTCCACGCCGCCCTCGAGGAGCCTGTGCCTGCCCATGGGAGCAGTGAGCTGTTTGGTAACATCCGGCCGGCATCGCGGCGGGGTGAGCAGGGGTCAGAAAAGATGTCCCAGGCCAGGGGTGGTGGGGCACACCTGTGATCCCAACACTCGAGAGGCTGAGGCAGGAGGATCGCTGAGAGTTGTAGGCCAGCCTGGGCTACACAGTGAGTGCAAGGCCAAACTGAACTACAAGGCGAGACCCTGTCTCAAAAAAAAAAAAAGAAGAGAAGAGAAGAGAAAGGTAGAAAGGCATGAGAGGAAACCCAGAGTGGGGAATAGCACGTGGGAAGTCACAGAAAACAGAAAGTACAAATCCTAAAGGGTGGATCACTTGGAGAAGACTGTATTAATCAGGCTGACAAATCCTTTTTGTTTTTTTGTTTTTGTTTTTTCAAACAGGGTCTCACTACATAGTTCAGGCTGGCCTTGAACTCACAGCGATCTTCCTGCTTCAGCCTCCCGAATTCTGGGATGACAGGCGTGTGTCACCACACCCAGCTTGACAAATCTTAAGGGAACCCACATTTAGGTTGGTAAAAGGACATGGCAAATGCTCAGAAATCTCTACTGTTAACGTTTTATATCTATGATTCTTGTTTTAAATGTTAACTGCAATGCAAAGGGAAATATACTTTATTTGAATGGAAAATTATGAAGAGGAAATAAGAAAAGCATCTCTTGTTTGGGTTTAGTTGTCTCAGTTCGGTAGTTACTATGAAACACAGAAGCTACATTTGATTGACTCATTTGAAGAGTCTGTAAATAAAACTTAGGCTGCTTCTCAAAATACGTTTTCAACATTGTCGTGAAACATGGAGCCAATAACAAAACCAGCAGCGAGAATCATGCTTAGCCCATTCCCCCTGCAGGATGTTGGGGTCCTGATCTCCATGCAGCACAATGAGCTCACTGAGTTTTATCAGGCAATAAAACCTGCACTTTCCTCTGCTCTGTTTGATCAGAAAATGACTTAAAATCATTTCCTCATGAACACAGACCAAAAACAAAGAAACTAATGCATATTTTTAAATTAATGCATTTCTTAAATCTTATCTGTAGAATGACTTTAGTCATCTACAAGTTCCATTTTGAAAGTATGAAAAAATTCTCACCCCCTTTACTTACAGCCAGCACCACCGTGGCAGCTAAATAAATTGGGGCCTGTATTATACACAACAGGCATCATACATTAAACAGGCATTCAATTAAAATGTCTTGTGTGAAAATAGGATGTTTTGCCTGGTCTTCCTTTGATAGGATTTCTAAATTTAAATTCTAGTGTAGTAACATTTTAAAGACTTATGACAGCAGGTATAGGGTGACTGAAACAGGAAAACTATGATGGGTTTCATACTTTCAAACGTCTTGCCCTTATTACTGACCATCCCACGACAGAAAGAAACATAAATCACAGCAGGTACTGATTTCTTACTTCGAAGGGGAGCTCCGTCAGCTCCAGGTTCCCGGAGAAGTCCAGCCTCTCCAGGCCCACACAGTCCCCCAGCGCTGCAGGAACGCTCGTCAGGTGGTTGAAACTCACATTAAGCTCTTTCAGGTTCTTCAGCCGACCTGGCATCAGAAAGAGGTCATTTCCATTGGGCAGGTCCTTCAAGGTCTTTGAGGAACGAGAACAAAACTACGAAGTCAGCTGGATGTATACTCGGCCAGTGAGTCAAACAAGCGGGCTGTTCACAGAGCGCCAATTTACCACGTGTCTTCTGTTTATGCCTGCATTAATTTAACTATGACATAGCAAGAATATGGTAGAAGTCGCTTCCACAGACAGGAAGAGAGTACGCTCAGAATAACAGGAAGTAGCCAGACTGAGTGGGAAATAATGTAGCCCAGTTCTGATTTTTTTTTTTTTTGTACCAGGGATCGAACTCAGGACCTTGTGCTTGCCAGGCAGGCGTGGTACCACTGAGCTAAATCCCCAGCCCTCTGATTCTTGACTGAATATACACGTACCCATTTCCAAAGTAGAAACCAGCTGAAGAACAGATAGACAGAATACTCTCAATACTGTGCCATGCATAGTCTAAGGGCTCGAATGCTGCACCGTTCTTAAACTAATTTCAAATCAGAAAACCAAAATTACTGTTTACTTTTGCAGAATAAGCACCCAGTATACAAATTTCTTGCCATTTTATAAATGAGAAAGTAAAGAGCACCAAGACAGTATAAGGGGCAGGGCCACTTCTGATCAGCTCTGCTGGTTCTCGTGTTAGAAGACAGCAGTGGTGACATGGAAACCAGGAGCCCTCTAATCACCGCCTGGCGCCCAGAAAGCCTCCCAGTCGGTGACTGTGGTTGGAGTAGCAGAGAGAAGGGGCTGAGATAAACAGGGAGACCGCTCACTGCCTGCACACGGGGCAGATGAGTCCCACGGCTTCCGCTTCTCCAAGGCAGGGCACTGCAGACTCTGTCTCCAGTTTAAATAAGGAAAGTAGAGTTGGCAGAGACAGTGTGAATGTGTCACATATGTCCAGCTTTCTGACACAGCAAAGCAAAAGACACAAGCAAAAAATGGGCAACCGAAAGGAACGCTTCTTTTTTTTTTGGTACTGGGGATCGAACTCGGGACCTTGTGTTTGCAAGGCAGGCGCCAGAACCATTAAGCTAAATCCCCGGACCCAGATGCTTCTCAAATGGACACATACAAATGGTATCTACATGAAAAAATGTTCATCATCTCCAGCCATTAGAGAAAAGCAAATTAAAACAACACTGAGATTCCATTTTACCCCAGAAAGAATAGCCATCATTAAGAAATCAAATAACAACACATGCTGGCAAGACTGCAGGGAAAAAGGAAGCCTTCTGCACTGTGGGTGGGAGTGTAAGCTAGCACAACCAGTACGGAAGTCAGCATGAAGAGCTCTCAAAGAACTAAAAGTAGACATCTCATTCAACCCAGTTATTCCCCTTGTAGGCATCTTCCCAAAAGAGTTAAAGACATCATGTTACAGTGATCTATAAATACCCATGTTTACAGCAACACAGCTCACAGTAGCTAAATCTAGGAAGCAGCCTACCTGTCCATCAACAGACGAATGGATAAAGATGTGGTATTTACACACAATGGAGTACTACTCTGTTATAAAGAAGGATAAATCTGAGTCATTCGTAGGAAAATGGATGCAGCTTGAGACCATACATTTAAGTGAAATAAAACAGACGCACAACTTAAATATAGCATGGTTTCTCTTATATGAGAAAGCCAGAGTATAAATACATTAAAGAACAAAATAAAAGTAGATAATAGGCAATAGAAGATAGATTTTTTGCAAAAGGGAAGGGAGCCAAGAGGTGGGGGAGGAGGATAGAAGAGAGGGGAAGGTCGTGAAGTGAGAATCGAGCGTCACTGCTGTCCACGATGAACGTAACCATTAGGTACCGCAAACTCAGACAACAAAACAAGAACAGCTTTCCTCAAACTGATCTCTAGATTCAACGCAATCCTTATCGAAATTCACCTTTTATAGAAATTGACAAATAGATCCTAACACTTAAATGGACATGCAGAGTACCTAGGGAAAAACTTTTTAAAGAAATAAAAATGTAAGGGGCCGGGGATTTAGCTCAGTGGTTTCGCCGCCTGCTGCGCAAGCACAAGGACCCAAGTTCAATCCCCGGTACCCCCCCCCAAAAAAAAGAAATTAAAATGTATGTGCTAAAGAATCACATGCCCTGGCTGATGGAGGCCATTGCTCCAACACAGTAGGACACGCTTGTACCAAGTCTGCTGCCTTTACTCAGGAGGGATGCAGGGAGAAGGGAGAGGAACTGGAGACAGCACTGGCTTCTTCGTAAAGATAGTCAAAGGAAAAGCCATAGCTTTAGAAATTCTGTCTCAAGCCTAACATTTTATTCTTGTTCTTCTGTGTGCATGTGTGTGTGTGTGTATGTGTTACTGTGGATTGAACCCAGGGCTTTTACACTTCACTACATCCTCAGCCCTTATTTTTATGTTTAAGACATAGTCTCACTAAGTCACTAAATTGCCCAGGCTGGGCTCCAACTTGTGATCCCTCTGCCTCAGCCTCCCAGAGTCCTGGGATGACAGGTGTGCACCATCGCACCCTACTTGTTATCCTATTTTTTAAACTGACTCACAAAGGTTGTACATACTGCCATGCACAATGACGTTGGCCTGTATTTCCAGCTACTCAGAAGACTGAGGCAGGAGGATCATGAGTTTGAGGTCAGCCTGAGCAGTTTAGCAAGAACCTACCTCCACATGGAAATTTTAAAGTGGCAGATCCCTGGCCTCACGCAAGCAAGGCCCTGAGTTCAATCCCCAGCACTGGAAAAAAAAAGTGTATATATTTATGGGCTACTATGTGATGTTCCAACACAGGAACGCATTGTGTAGAGAGAAACGTGCAGACCAACAGTATCTTAACAGTGTGCAGATCAAAGAAACTGTACATCTGCTACAGACCATGGCTATTCGGGCCTCTCGCTACTTTTTCCTCCTCAGTGGTGTGGCCGGGACTTGATGCTACTCATCCGAGAAGGGCTGGGTTTTCTCTCTCAAGATTTAGACCAAAAGCTCCCTCCATCAGACACGGAGGCCAGGAAATGTGATTTATACTTTTCAGCACTCCATTAAATGTTACTCAGCTCTCGTCCTGAACATGCTGGTCCTTCTCTGAGGAGGTAATGTCCCTCCCCAACCCCCACGGCCACTGTCACCTCCCCTGAGGACCAGCAACTCCAGGACTTCATTTTGACTTGAGCCACATATGTCCAGGGTCAAGGTTTGAAATATTCCTAGGAAACGTGGCTTGAGTGACTAAGATGATCCCTGATTATATGTCAAACACAGTAGATCACACACTGCTTTCTTGGAATTTGTTTTTTCCCAGACCCAGTCTTGCTGTGTCATCCAGGCTGGCCTCAAACTCACAGCGATCCTCCTGCCTCAGCCTCCCAAGCCCTGGGAGGACAGGCGTGCAGCCCACGCCCAACAGCCTCTTGTCCTTTATCTCACAGCAGCACAGGTCTTCGTAGCTCCGTCTGTGGATCCCGTGGATGCCCGCGCCGCTGTCTTCCACGGTGGGGGCAGAGACTTGAGGGCCTGAGCCCCTCACCCAGGCACAGCAGGACCCTGCCCGCCCACCGCTCCCTCTTTGGCTGCCTCCTGGCTCACAGCTTCCCCCACTGGTCCCCACAGTGTGTGCCACTCTTCGGATCTCTTAACAATGCTTTGATTAACATCATCTACCAGGGCGGCTGACACACAGTGAACGTCTAAATAAAAAAATATTTATTACAGTAAAAGGCACATGGCCATGAGTCCCCCCTCAAAATCCTCCTCCTTGCTTCAGACACACTCATCCATTGTTCTCGCCGCTTTCTGCAGCAGCTCAGGAGTCCTCTTTGCTGCATCTTTACAACATGTGATCAAAAATAGGGTGAATACTGCTGCTAAGCGCCATGTAACAGAGAGGCAGCTTGTAAAAACACGACGCAGGGCCCAGGATTTAGCTCAGTGGTTCCGCCGACTGCCTCGCAAGCGCAAGGACCCGAGTTCAATCCCCAGTACCAAAAATAACCCCCAAAAAACTGACGCTGTGTCCTCTTCCACCTTGGTCACCCAATCTGGCACCGTGTGACTCTGGCTCTTCCCAAAGTCAAAATGACCACGAAAGGGAAGCGTTTTGAATCCATTCAGCACATCGAGGCAGCCAGGACAGTACAGCTAAAGACACTGAGGAAAGAGGGCTCCACAGCTGCTGCAGAAAGTGGCAAAAATGATGGGATGAAAACATTCACAATATTTTTCCGTCGTGCTGTATTTCCTGGCGTGGCCACATGGGGGCAGGGAATGTGTTCTGCTCCCCATTTTCCTCTTACTGCCTAGTGTCATATCTGGCATAAAACAGGTACTCAAATATTTTTTATTGTTTGCACCCAGTTGGTGCTCAATCAATGTGCCTTGAATAGATGCACTTATGGATAACCACACGTTATCCATAAGTATATGGAGCCCATCAAAGGAGGACGAGAGGCCTGCCAGGCAACAAACCTCACAAACAGGAGCCAGGAGGAGGCTGAAGGCAGAGGGCAGCCCTGCAGCCGGAGCGGGCAGCTGCGTGTGGACACGGTTCTGCCCGGAAGGACCCTGAGCTGTAAGGGCAGCGAGGAGGGGAGCCGTGCAGAAGGACGGGAGAGAAAATAAAACAAACGGAAGACTTGAATGTTCATTTTCAAGGTTTGCAATCTTTGTCCAGAAAGACAAGGAAACAGCTGAATTCTCAGCGAAATCACACAAGCTAAATACGTGACAGTTTGATCAGTCCCTGAGGAAGGTGACAAAGGGGAGGGCTTGGAGCACTGAGCAAGAACGGAGGTGCGGGGGGGGGGGGTCTCTGTTCTCGGGGACCTGTGACCCAGCCGGGCTCCGCAATGCAACAACAATTGGAGAGTTGCTTTTAACTAAAACTATTGCCGCAAACCCACGGCTGTCCTCATGGAGTCAGATCGGATGGGCAAGCCCTGGCCTCACCGCAGGGCCAGAGGACAGACAACTTAGTAAATGTGGGGTGCCTACATGTCCTCACCTGTGACAGCAGGACAAAGCGCTCGTGTCCTCTGGATCTTGTGAGGGGAAAGGGAAAAGAGTTTGTCGAAAAGAGTTTTGTCAGGGGTCAGGGACGAAGTAAACACCCAGTAAAAGTCAGCTTGGGGGATGAGGGCAGGAAAAGGGGAGGAGCGGACGCCCATAGCACCTCAGGGACTGCCAGAGCTTCCCAACAGCGCCCGGCCCGCTGCAGCCCTGCTTGAAGGCCATGCTCCGTCTGGGGGGTGTGGGAATGTGGGAGGCCTTTTCTTTCATCAAAGGAAAAATTGTGCCCAAATCCCTGGGTTTGACCCCAGCAATGACTGAAGAAGAAAAAAAAAAGGAAAGAAAGACAAATATTAAAAAGAGAACTCTCATTAGAAATGTCACTTCACTCTTCCTGTACCCATCTGCCCTGAACCACGGCTCAGGGAGCAGAACAGCCAGCCGGGCTCCTGGGTGCCCAGCCCAGTGGCCCTGGTTGGCCGGCACTCAGCCAGTCAGGCCATTTGTCCCGCCCGGGAAATGAGCAGGACCTCCTGAGGCTGTGTCACTCAGGCCACACAGTATTTCTCCACACCAAGCCGCCCCCGGCTGGTGGACAGAACGCCAGTGATTCGTGTGATCACTCAGGCCCGGAACAGGAGAGCCTGGTAGGGCTGGGGACAGGGCTGGAGACAGGGACCAAAGAGAAGCCTGGGTTCCTGAAGAACAGGTCGGCCACGCCACACGGACACAGGTGCGCACTCTTCAGCCCCTGCTCCGGGAAAGTCGTGCCCGTGGTCTCCGGCCCAGGTCCTGTGCAGGGAGGTAAACAGGAAGCTTTCCCATCCCCACCCGGCCCGCAGTGCCAGCAGGTGGAGACAGCCTGTGAGCCCAAGCTGTGCCACGGGGACAGCTTCGTGTGTCCAGGGCCCACAGGCCCTAGAAGGAAACGAGCCTGCCCAGGGGCATAGAGGAGGACACCAGACCACGAGAGGCAGCCATGTCATCCTAGGGAGACGGAGCCTCCCCACAACCAAAGAAATGAAGCGCTCTCCAAGCCCCGCTTTGTGGACAAGGAGACGGAAGAGCAGAGACTAGTAGAGCACCCCAAATCGCTCAGCGGTCCTCCCCCAGGTACGAGCACATCCCCTCTCCCCCACCTGTACTTCTTAAGAAAAGAATAGTCGGGCCAGGGATGTAGCTCAGTGGTTCCGCTGCCTGGCTCACAAGCACAAGGTCCCGAGTTTGATCCCTGGTACCAAAAAAACCCCAAAACTTGGTACCAGCCAGGGTGTCGTGATGCACACCTGTAATCCCAGCACTTAATGAGGCTGAGGCAGGAGGATCACTAAGAGTTTGAGGCCGGCCTGGGCTACATAGTGAGACCCTGTCTCAAAAAATTTAAAAAATTAAAATACTTGGTAAGTGGAGCCCCAAATTTGAGACAACTGCGAATGTGGTGGTGGATGGCCCCAGGTTCACAGCTCCACCCACGGTGCAACACTCGACCCCTGCGTAGGGCTCAGCCACCCTGGCTTCCCTGGTGTGCAAGGGCTCTACCTGGAAAGGATTTTTCAGGGGACTCAGGCCTCAGACACAGCACCTCATTACTCACATCCACCGTGATCCTGTCCCTAATGACCTGGTAACAGCCGACTCTGGCTTCCGGCCCTGGCTGTCAAGAAGTCCCCAAGTTGACAGCTAAGGGGTGGTGGCTGAGTCAGCCGATGTCCCAGAACCTGCTGGCTCCAATCTGTGTGACCCTGCAGAGACGGCTCTTTTCAGGAAATTCTAGGGTCTTTCTCACCTCTCCCAACACCGGACTAGGACACAGAGGAGCACCTCCCCCACCAGGTCTGGGCCACACTGACCTCTCCCCCCCCACCAGGCTGCAAATTGGCCTCTTCCTGCTTGACGGTTAAGCCGCCCATTGGGGACGGCACACTGGTCAAGTCCACTGAGGGGTCACAGATGGCCCAAGAGATGCTGCCCACAGCCAAAGGACAACCGAGCTGGGGAATCCACTGCTTTCACAGCAAGGAGCAAGGAGATGTCACCTGGTCCCTCAGGGTTAGTAGCTGCATAAACAGCTCCCACACCAGCCGGGTCAAGCTGTGGGCGGGGCATGATGGACTCCCAGTAAGGCAGGAAAGGATGCCAGGGGCCTGGGAAGCTGCCCTCCACCCGCATTGCCTTGGCTTCTGCTACCTCCTCTGCCACTTCCAGGTCCTGCAGCAGGCACTGTGGCAGAGGAGTCGATCCCACCCTAGACCTTTGGTCCTCACAGCCCAAGACAAAGACAACCATGGTCACTGCAGTCTTCATCTTAAAATGACACAGCTCAACAATGAAATGATTGAGAATCATAAACTTCTGATTAGTCAAAAAGATATAATGCACACCTGCAAGGGCTGGGGATTTGGCTTAGTGGTTCTGCCGCTTGCCTCACAAGCACAAGGACCCAAGCTTGATCCCTGGTACCCAAAAAAAAAATCACAGAAAGATATAATGCACACCTGTAATCCCAGCACTCAGGAAGCTGAGGCAGGAGGATCGCCACAAAAGGCCAGCCTGGGCTACTTAGTGAGCTCAAGGCCAGTCTGAAATACATAGTGAGATCCTGTCTCAAAAGAAAGAGGAAGAAGGAGGAGGAGGAGGAGGAGGAGGAGGAGGAGGAGGAAGAGGAAGAAGGAGAAAATATAATAAGCGTAGAATACACAATGCCCTGGATTGAGTTCCCAGACCAATCATACAGCAAACAACACTGCAAGTTAAATTAAACTGTGCTTACAATAATAATATTATTACATGTTTGTATTTCTAACACTAAAAGAAAATAAGCAAAAGGTTCCTAAACAAAGCATTGCTCACTTACAAGACTTCTAGTTTCTGCACAACTGACAAAGACTTGGATGTGCTGAGTTATGTAGGTGAGACCATGGTACGGAAGCCCAAAGGGCACACTGCAAATAAGCAGCTCAGGAACATGGAAATAGCCCTGTCCAGAAACATCCTGGGGCAGCTGGAGGAGGAAACATGGGATCTGCAGGGTCACCTGTCCAACCGCTGCCTGCTTATCCCAGACGAGGGGCCTGCAGGTTCCTGCTCAGTAACATACCAATTTCAGCTGGAAGGTGTGAGATTTGGTTTTGGGGCAGATCCAGAATTCTCATTGCTTGAAACAGCTCAATGTATGTAGGAATGCTTTGAATCAGCGTGTTGCTTATGTGCCATTCTTTCAGGTGCGTCTGCTCCTGCAACGTATCGGGAAGCTCCTGCAACAGAACCGAGGACAGCAGTCAGAGCCAGGTCCTGGGGGAACCCCACTTTTCTTTTCTTTTATTTTTTGGTACCGGGGATCAAACTCAGGACCTTCCGCTTGCGAGGCAGGCGGCAACACCACTGAGCTAAATCCCTGGCCTCCCCACATTTATTTATTTATTTTGGGGGGGAGGGTACCAGGGATCGAACTCCGGTCCTTGTGCTTGCACAGCAGGCAGTGAAACCACTGAGCTAAATCCCCGGCCCAGCCCCACATTTATTTTTAAAAACCAAAGCAGGACAGCAAACGTGACAGCACCAGACTTCACGGCAGTGCACCTGCCGTTGGAAAAGCCAAAGACACCTGTAGTCGTCACTGATCTCCCAGGCATAATTAGTTCTATTTCCAACGAGTGATATTATTCAAATCAAATCCCATGACCACGGGGAAAAAGACGATGTTGCGGAGCCCTGCGTCCTGGCTCAGGTTCCACAGTTTCCTGAGTGCACCGCGTCCACAGGCTCTGGCACTGAGATGGGAGCGAAGGGCCCGACGGCCCCACAAGGAATTTTATTGTTTTCCACAGCTGCCCCCAAACGCGTGACAGCCAGCCTTGGCCACGTCGGCTGCCCCGTGGGTTTGCTGTGGCACAGCGAGTTTTGGTGGTGGCTCATCCAGATGACCCCACTCCTCCGCAGCGTCCTCGGCTCGAGGGGTCTGGGGGGCCCCTCCCGCACCCATAATGGCAGAGTCTGACATCACACACCATCCATGAAGGCCACTTCCCCGTGCTCTTGGTGGGTCGGACTCTGCACTGTTTTTAGGCCAAAGCAGAGTCCAAATAGAGCCTTTCTGGATGTCAGGTTTGCCTATTTGTGACCTCTGAGTAGCACAGGCCACACTGGTGCACGAACAGCTGGTGGCCAAGATGGAGAATGATGGAGAACTGCTGGGAGCTGCGACCTTCAGTCCCAAAGAGGTCTGCGCCGCAAGAAAGGAGGCTGCTAGTACTCAGAGCTCAGCGCCGCCCGTGTGCTCCTAACACTTTATAAAAGTGCTGCACTTTGCCTATTTGTGACTCCTATATAAACCGGCCAAGAGGGTCCTAGTTACTCTGGTTTCTGTTACTGTGACAAAACACCTCAGGCAAACAATTTAAAGGTGGAAAGGGTTATTCCCTCTCACACTTGCAGAGCCATGCTCATCTGCCCCTGTAGGGCAGCATGAGATGGGAACTGTGGTGGGGCAAAGCTGCTCCCCTCATGGTGGCCAGGAAGCAGGGAGAGAGGGGGAAGGGGCGGGTCCCATATACCCTTAAGCCACACCCCATATGACCTCACTTCCTCCACTAGGCTCCACCTCTTAAAGGTGCTGCAACCTCCCAAGAGTGCCAGACTAGTGACCCAGCCTTTAGCAGACAGTTAAGATCAACCGCGTATTCATAAAGTGTTCACACACTGAGTGCTCTGAGCAGCCGGCCCTGCCGAGACGGGCCGGAACCAGTTCCTGTGCCCCGGGGAACTTCCGGGAGTGCAGACTGAGCCCCTAGCTGGGGTCAGGAGGCGGGGCCGGATGCCACCTGTAGACCCCTGGGGAAAGAAGAGGGGCCTCTCTGCTTGGCCTGAGCGTCACAGGACGGGAGCCCGGGCCCCTCTGCAGCCCCAGGGCAAGCCGGGCATCTAGAAAGGGCCGGGCCTTCACCAAAGAGCTGTTCTAACGTCGAGGAGGGAGAGAGTCGCCGGGACTCACCTTCCAGTGCTCACCGCAGAGCTCAAACACGAACCGGCTGCTGCGACGGGCCCCGTCCTTAGCACACGAGCTCCGTCTGGCCAGGGAGCCCTGCTCCATCTTGTCCAGAAGCCTGGCGCTGGTGTCCACGAAGCCATTCTTGCAGTACTGGGCCTGGGGGATGCCCTTCCTCTGGCACTCCGCCGCAAAGCTCCACTCCTCCTTTATCCTGGCACGGGCAGGGAGCCACGGTTACTCTCCGGGGACAACACGGCCAGCAGCCAGCGGCCACCCCCACCCCATTCCTGCCCAGCACTCAGGGGAGCCTGGCTCCCTCCGGGAGGGTCCTGTGACCTAAGAAACACAGGAGGTAGGTTAGATGGAATCTCTGGCTAAAATTACTACCAAAATTACCTCTCCATCTGATTAATTACAATTTCCTCTGAAATGATATTAAGTTATCCCGTCTGCCCAGACCCCCTTGTTCCCAGAGTTCTGGCAGGGCTGCCTCCCAGGTTTGTGTGCAAATGTTACCTTCTTCATTGGACTTTCTGCTCTAAAGAAATCACTACTTAGTAATTGCTGGGGTTTCATGCTTGCTGTTAAACTGAAGGGAGCAAAACATATATTCCAATGTATTTATATACAGTTCCACATATATATTTCTATCTACACATTCATTTGGGAGGTTTTGTTTGGTTAGTTTTGGTTTTGGTTTGGTTTAGTTGTCTCTTGGTCTTTTGGGTTTTGTTGCTTTGTTTTGGTTTGGTACCAGAGATCGAACTCAGGATCTTGCACTTGCCGGGCAGGTGTGTTGCCACTGAGCTACATCCCTGGCCCAGGTTTTTTGTTTTTTGTTTTTTGTTTGGAGACAGTCTTGCTATGTAGCCCAAGCTGGCCTCGAAATCACAGCAATTCTCCTGCCTCAGCCTCCCAAGTGCTGGGATCACAGGCCTGTGCCACCCCACTGGCTTGATTTTTGGCTTTTCTCCTGGCAGCATGGTTGGCACAGGCACCCAGGTCTCCATCCCAGGGAGCCGAGCCAGGGAAGAGCACAGGGACCTGAGCACCCAGTCACAGGGACACAGGCAGTCTCCGGCCCCACCCACTCCTACCCGCCCCAGCCGTGCATCACATCACTTCCACCAGAGCCATTGAGCGAGCCGGAGGCCAGGAGTGACACGTACTTTTCCAGTGCACTCTGCTCCAGCCGCTCCGCCTCCTTCCTCTGCCGGGCTTTGTGCTTCTTGACTCGTGTTTCCCACAGGGCTCTGACAACAGAGATGTCGAACACCACCACCTTGTGCCCCATGCTGGAAGCATGAAATCACCTGTGTTTAGAAAAGCACACACAGGTCAGCTTCCTGCACATGCAGCACACAGAGGATAGTTGTAGTTGCTGTCGTTTTCGATGGCTTTTTTGAGACAGAGTCTCACTACTTAGCCCAGACTGGCCTTGAACTCGCAACAATCCTCCTGCCTCAGCCTCCTGAGAGCTGGGATCACAGATGTGTGCCACCATGCCCAGCCAAAAAGTTTTCACAGGAACTGTAAAATATGCAAGAATCCGCCACTGCCTTAGGCCAGGTCTTGCCTGTTCCAGATGGCGGCTTGCTGATGTCCTTAATGTCCCATCCAGCAGTACCCATGCCCAGGCGTCAGCATTCAGCCCTCACCCCAGGTCTCTTCGCTAGGGCAGCACAGCGGTCTCTGCCCTCCACTGAACTCGGGGTCTCAGAGCCTCCTGGACATTCCTCAACATCATGGTTCCTCCTTCTACCAAATTCATAGAGTGTCTCATCTTTCCTGGGGGCTGTAACATGCTAGGGGGAATTCAATGAGTTCATCGCAGCACACGTGTGAACACACACACACACACATACACACATCTCCTGAGTGAACAGAACTAACTTCTCAGATTAAACCTCAATAAGGCTCAAGGGAAGGGGGTGCAGCTCAGCAGTGGAGCCGATGGGTTCCATCCCAGGACCCCCCAAAAAGACCACAGACAACATCATGCCTGAGGGGATCCAGAGGAGCACCCTTCGAAGGTCACAGAGATTTCTTCTAAATGCACGGGGGCTGGAGCCATGCTTCCCTTCAGTCATGGTCAGCTCTGTCCTTGCCTCAGCAATGGCCTGTCCACCCCTCCTCCCACCTCTCCTGCCAGCCAAGTTGCCCCCAGTCCTTGCTCTGCTGGGGAAAGTCTCCATGACCTCCAGCCCCCTCTCCTCCGCAGCCTCCCCATCCCTTCTGCACCAGCCACCACCAGGTAATGCAAGTAAAGGTGGCTGGAACCCCGCCAACACCTCCCACCCACGCCCGGCCCCAGGATACTCCCTGCAGCACAAACCTTTGCAAGCTGTGCTTCTGCTTGCCCAGCCTTGAAAGCTCAAGGACAGTAGACTCGGGCCTGCCTTGGCCAGCACACTTTAGTGAGATCTTAGAGATGATTATCCTGTTATGGTTTCTATCTACATAGCCCCCCAAAGCCTCACAGGTGGGCCTTTAGGAGGTGCTTATCCATGGATTAGCCCATTGATGAGTTTATAGCTAAATGTGACTGGGGAGGGGAAGCCTGGTCAGAAGAGCTGGGTCACGGGGCTGTGGTCTCTCTCCCTCCTCCTCCTTTGATCCCTTTGTGCTTCCTTTCTGCCATGCCATGGACTGCTTCTCCTCCACTGGGCCCCTCTGCCATGCCTCTTGGAGCCAGCTGACTGTGCATGAATATGCACTCCACAAACTGTGAGCCAAATAAGCCTTTCCTCCTTTAGATTGTAGGTGTTGGATATTGTGTCTCAGCCTCAAGAAAGTAGCTGAAGGCCAGGGATTTAGCTCAGTGGTTCTGCTGCCTGCCTGGCAAGCGCAAGCAAGGTCCCGAGTTCGATCCCTGGTACCCAAAAAAAAGGAAAGTAGCTGAGACATATCTCTACTCTCAGTTTCACCCATAGAATCATGAGAAGCTCAGAAAAGTGTTATGTTGAGCTGGGGATACGGCTCGCTGATAGACCACTTCCCTGGGACTTGCTTCTAGTCCTCATAGAAAATAATCTGTCTCCATCCATCCCTGATCTCTGGCACTGTGTCTGGCACACAGAAGCTTCCCATAAACACTTCATGAGTGAGAAAATGAATGAATAGGAAGAAAATATTTGCATCTGGATTGCTGTATTCTCAGGCCACTCAAGGAGCTTTCTCTCCTCCTTTTATTTTCCCACTTCATATTTACTGTTCATTTTAAGTGATTACTTGCTCTGAGCAAAAATTAAAAACTATCAGACTGGTCCATGGTGACGCACACCTGTCATTCCAGCACTCAGGAGGCTGAGGCAGGAGGATTGTGAGTTCAAGGCCACTCCAGACTACACAGTGAGAAATTATCTCCTAAAAAAAAATTTCAAAAAAACTATCAAGACACAAAAGTGCATCTCAGTGTTCACTCCACTAAGCTGCCTTTATGTCTCCAGCAAAGCTCCTCCCTCCTGCATTGTGGAAATCTAGCTAAAACAATTCCCTGGTTCACACAGACATATCAAGGACATGTTGGTAAATAATAGGGCTGGTGAATATCCTCAGATTTCAGACACTCCTAAATAGCAGTCAGTAGGGATACAAAGCCAAATGCTTTACCCCCTGACTTATGAGTGTGCCATCTATAAATGGCTTGTCCATGTGACAGAGGAACTGGCTTGTTTGAGCCCTAAACACTTGAAGTCCACAGCTTGAGTCTGCCAAGCTGACAGCTCTGGCCCAAATTTATTCCCCTTTTTGCTTTGATTTCTGATATCTGGGGTGTCCTTTGTTTCCCTTAAAACTCTTTTCCTTAAGGAGATTTTTGATAAAGGTTCAAAAGGTGCAGAAGGTTTGGTGTGGACATTTTATTTTTTCCAATTCTCGTGGGTAAATACAGGGGTAGAACTGTGGGTTTGTGGTAGCTCTGAGTTTGTTTCAGGAACTGCACATTGCTTCCCAGAGCAGGTGCCTCACTTTAGATCCTCATCAGCAGTGAATGAGGATTCCACCTTTCCTGCCTCTTTGCCAACACTTTTTGTTATCTGTCTTTTTTTCCCCCACAGCCATCTTAGTGGGTGTGAAGTGGTGTCTCATTGTTTTGATTTGCATTTTCCTAATGACTAGATGTTCACTATCTTTTAACGGGCATTTGTATATCTTCTTTGTAAGAATATCTATCTGGCTCCTTTGCCTATTTTTAATTGAGCTATTTTTTTTTAACTGTTGTGTTGTAACAGTACTTTACATATTCTAGATACAGGTCTCTTACCAGTTACATGATTTGGAAAATTTTTTTCCCATTATTTATGTAAATTGTCTTCCCACTTTCTTGGTTCCATCCTTTTACTTTTAACTTAAATATATAGATATATTTGAGATGACACTTTATAGACAGAATATTATTGGATCATTATTTTAACTTATTTAGATAATTTTCTTTCTTTCTTTTTTTTTTTTTTTTGTACCAGGAATCAAACTTGGGTCCTTGCACTTGGAGGGCAGGCGGCAGAAACACTGAGCTAAATCCCCGGCCCTGGATAATTTAACTGCTGTGTTTAGGCCATTCATATTTAATAAAATTACTCATATGTTTGGATTTAGGTCTGTCATTTTATCATTTATTCTTTTTGTACCAGGGATCAAACTTGGGACCTTGCATTTGTGAGGTACCATTTATTCTTGATTTGGTATCATTTTATTGTTTTCTCTTTTACATTTTCCTGCCTTCTTGTGTGTTATCTGAACATTTTTTAGCATTCCATTTTTGTCTCTGGTGTGTTTTGTTTTGTTTTGTTTTGTTGGTACTGGGGATCGAACTCAGGTCCTTGCGCTTTCGAGGCAGGCACCAGAACTGCTGAGCTAAATCCCCAGCCCTGTAGTTCTCTTTTTTATGGTTGCCCTAGGAACTATGAGAAACATGGTTACCTTTTCACAGTCAATTTAGAAACAATTACCTCATCACTTGGAGTGAGAGGTAGAAACCTTTTCCCCATCTAGGTCCCCGTACAGCACTTTTACGTTGTTGTCGTCTTGTGTAGTCCTACAATCGTGGTATATTTATGGCTTCTGGTCTTACTTTAAAGGACTCAGGAGGAGAAAACTAGCCCAGTATACTTACCCTGATATTTACTACCTCTGCTGCTCTTCCTTCCCACTGCTCAGGTTTCCCTCTGATACCATTTCCCTTCTGTCTAAAACTCCCCTTACTAATTATCTACACTCTGACACATCCTGCTTTTTTAAATCTGAGGACATTTTCTCACCCCAAGGCGGAGGGAGAGGCTATTCTTGCTGGGTACAGAATTCTGCATCTGCCAATCTTTTCTCTCAGCACTTTGACAGCGCCACACCATGTTATTCTGACACTTACAGCTTCTGATAAGAAATCTGCAACCGTTTGAATCTGATTCTCCTGCACATGATGTGTCCTTTATCTTTCCCTGCTTTCAAGATCTTTCAAGTCTTTGTCTTTGGTTTTCTTATATCAGTTATAGGCTGTCTGGGCATGTATTTCTTTGGGGCTTGTTTACTGTCTTTAACTGGTTGGTTTAGATCTTTTGCCAAATTCGAGACTTTTCAGCCATTATGTCTTCAAATATTTTTTCCTGCACTGGTCTCTTCTCTCCTGGAACTCTGATGATGCAAACATTAGACTTTTCAGTATTGTTTCTCAGATTCTTGGGGCATGGATCATGTTTTATAAATATTCCCTTCTCTCTCCTTTTTTAATCTTGGCAATCTCCAGTAACTTTCGAGTTTCCTAACTCTGGCCTATCTTTACTTCTCACATTTCCATGTTGTTCTTTATATCTTCTGTTTCCTTGTGGATACTTTCTATCTTCCCGTTCCTACACCAGGGATGAGAGTGAGTACCCACAGAAGAACCAACTTGAAAGGAGTTCGGACTTTTGGGGTGTGTGACATACTGGAGATTGAAACACGGGCCTCACGCGTGCCAGGCAAGCTCTCTGCCACTGACCTACACCCAGCCCTTTTTATTTTTCATTTGGAGACATGATCTCCCTAAGTTGCCCAGGCTGGCCTTGAACTGCGATCCTCCTGCCTCAGCCTCTCAACTAGCTGGTATTACAAGCATGCATCACCAATCCCAGACCTCATTTTAGAAGTTGTGGGTTAGTCAGGTTCATCTGGAGTTGCTGGGCAACCCATGAGCCATGCCTCCTAGCAAAGGTGGGGGACAGCTAGTTGACAACCAGTGGCATGGCACGTAGCAGGGGTCCAGGTGCTGGATGGGGCAGAGGCCATAGCTTGCTGTGTGACCCTCAAGGCCAGCAGCCATGTGCGGGTGTGCGAGAGA